CGCTTGTATCGCAGAAAGATATCTTGCTGTGGTGGGATTCTGCAGTTACGTTCTTGGGCCGCCCTTTCAGCTGGGCTAAGTCACGCGGGCCACTGGAGCGAGCGGCTCTTTGTCTTGAGCGCGTCGGCTGGACGAAGCGCAGTGGTGCCCTCTGGCGTGATCATCTGGACCAAGAGGTGCGAGTTGACCAGCTCTCTCCAGCCGTAGTCGAGGACCTGCTCAGCGCGGCGATGCAGCGGATTCTTGAATGTCAACTAGCTGACAAATGGGAGTTGCCTGCTGGAGTTCGTGTAACGCTCGACCTCATTCAGGGCGCGGTCCGCGCGCGCACGGCCAAGTACACCAAGTATCAGAAGTTCCTCATTCGTACGTGTGCATGTGAGGGATTGTGGACACGACGGCGGGCACAAGAGCGCGGGTACGACACCAACGGCCTCTGCAGTTGCGGGCAGCCTGATACTGTCCACCACAGGCTCTACTCCTGTACGCGAGCTGACGTAGCCGCGGCTCGTCCCGACAGCGGAGTCAGCCCGACTTTCATCCAGGAGGGTCATCAAGCTGATGGGGATCTGCGCTGCGTCACAGGGGCCTTCGCCTACGAGGCGCGCTTGCTGCCACCGCTTGATAGCGGCACGACTGTCCACCTACTTGATGCGGCTGGTCAGGAAGCAGATTGTGAGCCTGAGACCCTCTGCAACATCATCGACCCCAGCGTCCCGTCCGTGGAGATTGCAGTGGATGGTGCCTGCAGCGTGCCGCTTCTTGCAGCTGCTCGCCGCGCTGGCTGGGCCTTGGCGCTGCTGGACCCCAGCGGCACTCAGCCGCTCCGTGTGATGTACGGTGCAGTCCCTGGCCCCCTGCCGCAGCGTTCAGCCATGGCGGAGCACTTGGCGCTGGCATATGTCGGGCAAGTGGTGGATAGGCCGACAGACGTTTTCGCTGACCACATGGCTGCTGTGATTGAGGCCACCAAGAGCCCTGAACAGCAGTTGCGGCCTGGTGCGCGATACGGTTGCGTCAAGCTTTTTGGTCAGCAGATGCCTGGATTCCATCACATTCGGTCCGTGTCGCACGTAAAGGCGCATCGATCTGTTGACCAGTATGTTGAGTTGTCTGATTCTGATAAGCGTCTCACCGACGCCAACGTCGTTGCCGACGTTGACGCCAAGCGCGCGGTCCAGCTGCACCAGTCCGCGCCGCATGAGCTTGATGAGCAGCTGGAGACAGGGCTGCGCATTGCGAATGGCTGTGTTTCTTTGGCTGCCGCCGTGCTGCCGCTTTTCGACAGAGAGGAGCGTCGGGCACGGCTCACGGTGGCAAGGCGCGCTGCACATGTTCAGCGCACTCGTTGGCACGACTGGCGTCGCACAGTGATAGGTGAGCAATGCAGTAAGTGTTTGTGTATGGCACATGACACGCATGATAAGCCCCTGTCAGGTTGTAGGGGCATGCCTAAGTATCTTGACAGTTTTGTGCGCACCCCTCTCGGTCACACACTTGTTGCTGTGAGTCAGGGGGGTAAGTCCCCAGCGTGCCCAGGTTGCTGCCGCCCAGTGTACGTGTGTACTAAGTGCGGTGCCTGGGCCCAGCAGTCCAAGACGAACAAATTAAGACGACCTTGCGAGCCCCCCACCAGGAAGGGGCTTGAGGTCCTTGTGAATTTGCGTAACGGAGTTGGCCCCCACACGGGGCTCGCTCGCCAGGTGGACGCTGCCCTCCCAGCTCTGCAGTCCGTTTCTGGTGCTGCGAGGCGTCCTGAGCTTGAGACCACACGCGTTTCCCGAGCTCCTGTGTCCGAGGGCCCCCCGACCTACGAGTCCAGGGTGGCTGCCCTCGCCGAGAGAATTCGTCTGAAAGAGCAAGCTGCCTCAGGTTAGTTTGATTTCAGGCCTGGCAAAGTCGCCGAAGGTTGTGCAATGTGTTGCACGCACCAGGGCCTAGAGCTGCTGGTGTGATCAGGTTGAGCCGCCATCCTCCTCGGAGCTTCAGTATCCTGGCACCTCTGTCCTCGACGCCCTCGCTGGCTCGGCGGCCGAGAATGAAACAGTCTCCTATCGGTTACGCCATAAGTTGCGCACTCGGCGGCCGAGAATAAAACAGTCTTCTATCGGTTGCGCCATAGGTTGCGCCCTCGGAGGCCGAGAATAAAACCGTCTCCTACCAGTTGCGCACTAGGTTGCGCCCTCGGCGGCCGAGAATTCAACCGTCTCCGATCGGTTGCGCCATAGGTTGCGCCCTCGGCGGCCGAACATCAAAGCGTCTCCGATTGGTTGCGCACTAGGTTGCGCCTTCGGCGGCCGAGAATAAAACCGTCTCCGATCGGTTGCGCCAGAAGTTGCGCCTTCGGCGGCCGAGGGTACAACCGTCTCCTATCGGTTGCGCCATAGGTTGCGCCCTCGGCGGCCGCGAGTAAAACCATCTTTCACCAGTTGCGCCATAGTTTGCGCCTCGGCGGCCGAGAAAACAACCGTCTTCGATCGGTTGCGCCATAGGTTGCGCCCTCGGCGGCCGAGAATGACACCGTCTCCTATCCGTTGCGGCATAGGTTGCGCCTTCGGCGGCCAAGAATAGAGCCGTCTCCTATCGGTTGCGCACTATAGGTGGCGCCTTCGGCGGCCGAGAATAAAACTGTCGCGTAACGGATGTGACCAGTCTGTTCAGTTCATCTTCAGTTCCGGTCAGCGCAGTTCAGTTCAGTTTCGTAAGTTTACCGAGCGAGAAACACATTCGGGTTTGGCCCGAAATAGTGTTAGTGATACAAATCTTGGTAATATTAAGAATACGATGAATGATACGAATAATAATCATAAGAACTGTAATATGAGAGGGAAGAGGAGGACCTCGTGGGAGGAGGAGGGGAGGAGGAGGAGGAGGAGCAGCTCGGAGGGAGGAGGAGGAGGAGGACAAGGAGGAGGAGGAGTTGCTGCTGCTGGTGCTGTTGTTCACGGATGTTGGACCGTTAGGATGATTATACACACTCTCGGGTAAGCCAGGTATACGTACTTGTTACAACACGCGTGCTACCCGTGCTCGTTAGTAGGGAAGGCGGAGGGACCGAGGCGGGACCCCGCCAGAGAAGGGACCATCGAGGACCGAAGACGACAGCCGGCACGAGCGAAGGTCGAGAAGACAGGCAAGCGGAGGGATTGGGCCAACATTGTGCTATAACCGTTCGCCGTGTCTGCCGCTCACACCCAAAGTGCCACTCGAAGAGGAGGGGGGGGACTAGGGGAAGGAGGAGAAGGAGGACGAGGAGGATGAAGAGGAAGAGGACGAGGAGGACGGGGAGGAGGATGAGGAGGAGGACGAGGACGAGGAGACGAGGAGGACGAGGAGGAGGACGAGGAGGAGGACGAGGAGGACGAAGAGGACGAGGAGGACGAGGAGGATGAGAAGGACGAGGAGGACGCGGAGGGCCGAGGAGGAGGGGGAGGAGGAGGAGGAGAAGACAGGAGGAGGAGAAGGAGGAAGGAGGAGTAGGAGGAGGAGGAGGAGGAGGAGGAGAAGGAGGAGGAGGAGGGGGAGGAGGAAGGAGGAGGAGGAGAAGGAGAGGAGGAGGACGAGGCGGACGTGGAGTACGAGGAGGACGAGGAGGATGAGGAGGAGGAAGATGAGGAAGATGAGGAAGAAGAGGAAGAGGTGGATGAGGGGAGGCGGAGGAGGAGGAGGAGGAAGAGGAGCAGGAGGAGCAGGAGGAGGAGGAAGAAAAAGCAGGAGGAGGCAGGGGAGGAGGAAGAAAGGAGGAGGAGGAGGACGAGGACGAGGCGAGGAGGAAGGAGGAGGAGGAGGAGGAGGAGGGAAGGAGGAGGAGGAGGAGGAGGAGGAGGGTGAGGAGGCGGACGAGGAGACGAGGAGGACGAGGAGGAGAGGAGGAGGAGGAGGAGGAGGAGGAGGAGGACGAGGGACGAGACGAGGACGAGGACGAGGACGAGGACGAGGGGGAGGAGTGAGGAGGAGGAGAGGAGGATGGAGGAGGAGAGGCAAGGAGGAGGGAGGAGGAGGAGGAGAAGGAGTAGGAGGGTGGGACGAGGCGGGGAGGAGGAGTGAGGAGGAGCGAGGAGGAGGAGAGGAGAGGAGGAGTAGGAGGAGGAGGAGGAGGAGGAGGAGGAGGAGGAAAGGGGAGGAGGAGGAGAGAGGAGAGGAGGAGAGGAGGAGGAGGAAGAGGAGGAGGAGGAGGAGGAGGAGGAGAGGGGGAGGAGCGGCGGAGGAGGAGGAGGAGGGGGGAGGAGCGAGGAGGAGGAGGAAGGAGGAGGAGGAGGAGGAGGCAAGGAGGAGGAGAGGAGGAGGAGGGAGGACGAGGAAGAGAAGGAGAAGGACGATGATGATGATGAGGAGGAGGAGGAGGACGAGGAGGAGGAGGAGGAGGAGGAGGAGGAGGAGGAGGATGGTGGTGGTGGTGATGATGGTGATGATGATGATGGTGATGATGATGATTGTGGTGGTCGTGATGATGGTGTTGATGATGATGATGATGACGATGACGATGATGATGCTGATGATGATGATGATGCTGATGATATGATGATGATGAGATGATGATGATGATGATGAGATGATGATTGAGAGGATGATGATGATGATGATGATGAGATGATGGGGGGGGGGGGGGATGATGATGATGATGATGAGATGATTGATGGATGATAATGATAATGATAATGATGATGATGGCCGATGATGACGATGAGACGATGAGACGATGATGATGATGATGATGGTGATGAGCTGATGATTGCTGATGAAGGATGCTGCTGATGATGTCTTTTCCCTTTTTGTAAGGAGGAGGAGCAGGAGGAGGAGGTAGCAGGAGGTAGGAGGGAGGGAGGGAGGGAGGAGGGAAGGGAGGGAGGGAGGGAGGGAGGGAGAGAGGAGGGGAGGAGGAGGAGGAGGAGGAGGAGGAGGAGGAGGAGGAGGAGGAATATTCCAGGACCCCCCGCCGCCTCTCAGAGGTCCCGCCCCGGCGCCTGCAGTTCCCCCCTTCCCCCCCGCCGCCACCAGAGGTGCCTGGCCCAGGCTCGTACGAGATCGACCGGCGCGCCAGCTGGAAGCCGAGGACCCGAGCGTTGTGCACCTTCGGCGGGAGGATCGGGTCGGACGAAAGCGGGGGTTGAGGGAGGGGGGAGGAGGAGGAGGAGGAGGAGGAGGAGGAGGAGGAGGAGGAGGAGGAGGAGGAGGAGGAGGAGAGGAGGAGGAGGAGGAGGAGGAGGAGGAGGAGGAGGAGGAGGAGGAGGAGGAGGAGGAGGAGGAGGAGGAGGAGGAGGAGGAGGGGGGGCACGAGATCTGCTGCGTGTCATTGGTTTTGGTCTCACCGGGCGCTTCCCTCGACCAGCTGACTCGCGAAACACCCCCCTTTGCTGTGCTCCCACCTTCCTTCCCCGAGAGGAGCGATCTGGGGAAGACCGCGTTCCTGCGGACCCGGTGAGTCCAGGCCGCCCGAGTGGGGCCGGATTAGATGGTCTGGAGTTTGATTTCATCCGTAAGGGATTCGCCCCTTGCCGCCGGCCCCTTCTCTATCATTGGGATATCTCAGAGTCGCGTCGATGCGTCACGGCGCTGCCTTGGCGCATCTGGGAGCATCATGTGAGGGATAAGAATCATCAGCGCATATTGAGACGCTGGCGTTATCAAAGACGCCTGCGGCGAATCGAATCACCGCCGCCCCCTGCCCCTTGGGAAGCGCCTCGATGGCCGACTGCTGGGCCAGAGCTTGGCCAAGCCATCGGGCCAGTTGTTCCCGGGGTCGGTTCGGAAAGACTTCGGGGAACGCGTGGGGGAGCAAGAAGAGGAGGAGGAGGAGGATGAGGAAAAACGAGGAGGAGGAGGAGGAGGAGGCCTTTTAGGCGCCTCTTGGGGCACTCTTGGGGCCTCCTGGGAGCTTCCTGGGGGCCTCTTGGAGGGTTTGGGGGGGCCTTTGGAGGCTTCTTGGGGGCCTCTTTGGCTGTCTTAGGGCGTTCCTGGCTTGTCTGACGCCGTCGGAAGTCGTCTTGGGTCCCTCTTGGGGCATATCAGTGGTTCTTAGAGGCCATCTTGGGCGTCTTGGAGGCCTCTTGGGCCGTTCTGGGGCCCTCTTGGGGCCGTCTTGTGGGCCTTTTGGGCCGTCATGGGGCCATCTTGGAGGCCTCTTGGGCGATCTTGGGGGCCTCTTGGGCCGTCTAGAGCCGTCGGAAAGCTGAGAAGAAGCGAATGCCACAATCTTTCAAAAACCTACAAACAATCAATGATTGGGCCTCTTCGGGCCCTCCTGGAAGACCTCCTGGACGCCTTTTGGGCCGTCTTGGGGGCCTCTGGGAGGCCTCTTGGGCCGTCTTGGGCTGTGTTGGGCCATCTTGAGGCCATCTTAGGCCGTCTTGGGTGCATCTTGGGCCGCATCTTGGGGCCATCTTAGGCCATTCTGGCGGTCTTGGAGGCATACTGGGACATCTCAGGGCCGTCTTGGGGTCCTTTTGGGCCGTCATGGGACCATCTTGGAGGAGTCGTGGGCGATCTTGGGAGCCTCTTGGGCCGTCTAGAGCCGTTGGAATGCCGAAAAGAAGCAAATGCCCAAATCCTTCAGAAGCTTAAGGAAAATCAATGACTTTGGCCTCTTCGGGCCTTCCTGGAGGAACTCTTGGAGGCCTCTTGGGCCATCTTGGAGGCCTCTTGGGAGCCTCTTGGGCCGTCGTAGGCCATCTGGAGGCCATCTCAGGCCGTCTAGGGTGCTTCTTGGGCCGTCTTGGAGGCATCTTGGGGCCATCTTAGCCGTCTTGGAGGCCATCTTGGGCGTCTTGGAGGCCTCGTGGGCCGTCTTGGGGCCCTCTTGGGGGCATCTTGGGGGCCTCTTGGCCGTCATGGGGCCATCTGAGAGACCTGTTGGGCGATCTTGGGGCGATCTTGGGGGCCTCTTGGACCGTCGGAATGCCGAAAAGGCGAAAATGCCAAATCAATAATTTTGGCCTCCTCGGGCCTTCCTGGAGGACCTCTTGGAGGCCTCTTGGGCTGTCTTGGAGACCTCCTATCTTAGGCTGTCTTGGGTGCATCTTGGGCCGTCTTGGAGGCATTTTGGGGCCATCTTAGCCGTTTTGGAGGCCATCTTGGCCGCCTTGGGCGATCTTGGAGGCCATCTTTGGCCGTCTTGGAGCCGTCTGGAGCGGGAAAAACCCTTCGGAACCGGGTCTGGGCAATCTTTCGGGGACCCCAGCGGGACGCGCCGGAGGCCCAGGGTGAGTTCTCTTGGAAAAGAACCCATGCCAAAACCGAGAGGATCTAGCACGCCAGGCCCCCCTGTGATGAATCAACAGGGGGCGGCGGATCGAAGACGCCTACGGCGAATCACCGCCGCCCCCTGCCTTTTTGAAAGCGCCTATGTGGCCGAACGTTGAGACCAGACCTGCCAAGCTATCGGACCATGTGTTCCCTCGGGGAACACGTGGGCATCTTGAAGGTGCTTTTGGCCGCCTGGAGGCCATTTTGACGCTTTCGGGCCTTCTTGGAGGACGTCTTGGAGGGCTCTTGGGCCGTCTTGGAGGCCGTCTTGAGCGTCTTGAATGTCTCTTGGGCCGTCTTGGGGGCCTCTTGGGGCCGTCTTGGGCCTCTTGGGCGATCTTTGGGGGCACTTGGGTCGTCTCGGGCCGTCGGAAGGCAGAACAACACAAAAAATGCCACAATCCTTTTTACCTAACAGCGTAGACTGATAGGTTTCTAGTTGACTCAAAAGAGCTCACAGATCACTCCACAGGGGGGTCCGGGCAGGCGTTGGGAGTTGCCGGCCGGGCCTGTGCCGGGCTCGTTTTTCACCAACAGTCACACACTTCGTGCTCGTCGACCTCTCAGAACCCCATTCCCAGGCCACATTCTGAATAACCGGATGCAACAGTCACACACTTCGTGTCTTCGACCCCAGAACTCCATTCCCGGGCCACATTTTGAATGCCCGGAGCCAACTGTAGGCCACTTCGTGGTCTTCGAGTTCCCAGAACTCCATTCCCGGGCCACATTTTGAATGCCCGGAGCCAACTGTAGGCCACTTCGTGGTCTTCGAGTTCCCAGAACTCCATTCCCGGGCCACATTTTGGATGCCCGGAGCCAACTGTAGGCCACTTCGTGGTCTTCGAGTTCCCAGAACTCCATTCCCGGGCCACATTTTGGATGCCCGGAGCCAACTGTAGGCCACTTCGTGGTCTTCGAGTTCCCAGAACTCCATTCCTGGGCATGATTTTGAATGCCCGGAGCCAACTGTAGGCCACTTCGTGTTCTTCGAGTTCCCAGAACTCCATTCCCGGGCCACATTTTGAATGCTGAGGCTGAGGCTGAGGCTGAGGCAGGCTGATGAGGCTGAGGCAGGCTGAGGCTGAGGCAGGCTGAGGCTGAGGCCGAGGCTGAGGCTGAAGGCAGACTGAGGCTGAGGCTGAGGCTGAGGCTGCAGGCTGAGGCTGAGGCTGAGGCTGAGGCTGAGGCTGAGGCAGGCTGAGGCTGAGGCTGAGGCAGGCTGAGGCTGAGGCTGTGTCTGTGACTGCCGTTGCCACTGCGACTGTCATCGCGAATGCGACTACGACTGCGAGAACAGCACAATTCTACAACTGGATTCTCATTTGAATCTTAAGGGGAATGCTTCCAGATATGCTCCTACACATCGCTGTTAGGTTGCTTTGCCGGGATAATCAAAAACTCACGGGGAATCAATGATTTTGGCTTTTTCGGGCCTTCTGGAGGCCCTCTTGGAGGCCTCTTGGCCCTTCTTGGGCCATCTTAGTGCCATCTTCGGCCGTCTTGGTGGGCCCCTGGCCCGTCCGACGCCGTCGGAAGCCGTTTGGGGGGCCCCTCTGAGCCGACTCGGGGCCCTCTTGAAATGCTCCAGGGCCGTCTTGGAGGCCATCTTGGGCGTCTTAAAAGCCTCCTGGGCCGTATTGGGGGCCTCTTGGAGCCGTCTTGGGGGCCTCTTGGGCCGTTCTGGGGCCATCTTGGAGGCCTCTTGGGTGATCTTTAGGCGATCTTTGGGGGCACTTGGGCCGTCTCGGGCCGTCGGAAGGCCGAAACGAAGCAAATGTCAAAATCCCACAAAAAAACCTTAGGACAATCAGTGTGTTTGGCATTTTTTCTGACCTTCCAAGAGGCCCTCTTGGAGGCCTCTTGGGCCGTCTTGGGCCAGCTTCGAGCCAACTTCGGCCATCTTGGTGGGTTCCTGGCACGTCTGACGCCGTCGGGAGCTGTCTTGGGGGTCTTTCTGGGCCGACTTGGGACCCTCTTGGGGCGCTTCGGGCCCTTCTTGGAGGCCGGATCGTGGCTCCAGGGGCGCGAATGTGGCGTTATTTGCTGAGGATCGTCGCCTCGGGGGCGCGAACGTGGCGTAATTTATAAGGGATCGTGGCCTCGGGGGCGCGAGCGTGGTGCAATTTACTAAAGGATTGTGGGCGATCTTTGGGGGCTCTTGGGCTGTCTCGGGCCGTCGGAAGGCCAAAACGAAGCAAATGTCAAAATACTTCAATTACGCTACCGAGGAACCCCACATACTTAATTTAAATGTTATGTGTTTGCTTATTTCTAGAATATATATATATATATATATATATATATATATATATATGCACGATCCTGCGTTCTGGGCCCTCGTCGCGAATGTTCCCTGCTAGGCTTTGCGCCAGTGTCGTGGATAGCGGCCGAGCTGAGAGACCACCCCTGCGCACCCCCTGTGGTGTCGAGAAAGTGCCACGCCTGCTAGGTTTTGCGCCAGTGTCGTGGATAGCGGCCGAACTGAGAGACCACCCCCTGCGCACCCCCTGTGGTGTCGAGAAAGTGCCACGCCTGCTAGCCTTTGCGCCAGTGTCGTGGATAGCGGCCGAGCTGAGAGACCACCCCCTGCGCACCCCCTGTGGTGTCGAGAAAGTGCCACGGCTGCAAAGCTTTGCGCCAGTGTCGTGGATAGCGGCCGAGCTGAGAGACCACCCCCTGCCCACCCCCTTTGGTGTCGAGAAAGTGCCACGCCTGCTAGGCTTTGCGCCAGTGTCGTGGATGGCGGCCGAGCTGAGAGACCACCCCCTGCGCACCCCCTGTGGTGTCGAGAAAGTGCCACGCCTGCTAGGCTTTGCGCCAGTGTCGTGGATAGCGGCCGAGCTGAGAGACCACCCCCTGCGCACCCCCTGTGGTGTCGAGAAAGTGCCACGCTAGGCTTTGCGCCAGTGTCGTGGATAGCGGCCGAGCTGAGAGACCACCCCCTGCGCACCCCGTGTGGTGTCGAGAAAGTGCCACGCCTGCTAGGTTTGCGCCAGTGTCGTGGATAGCGGCCGAGCTGAGAGACCACCCCCTGCGCACCCCGTGTGGTGTCGAGAAAGTGCCACGCCTGCTAGGCTTTGCGCCAGTGTCGTGGATAGCGGCCGAGCTGAGAGACCACCCCCTGCGCACCCCCTGTGGTGTCGAGAAAGTGCCACGCCTGCTAGGCTTTGCGCCAGTGTCGTGGATAGCGGCCGAGCTGAGAGACCACCCCCTGCGCACCCCCTTTGGTGT